ATCAACATAGGAAAGCTTATCTCAGAAGCAACTTTCTAAAAGCCTGAAAATTCAGCTGTTATAGAATTAATGTGCCACAGGGAGAAATCACTCCACACACTTAAAATCACTTTAATGATACTATGCATGGCTAATGCTCAAAGAAAAGATAGCCTAAACAGATTTTGCATTCCACATATGCAGTCATCCATAACAAATTTTAGGTTCATACTCAAGGTTACACTTTGAGCAATTTAAATATGGAGAGGAGACAACAAGTCTAGCCACTTAGGCAGATGAGAGACTTAAAGAGCAAAAATAGTCCCAGAATTATTTCTTAAGTATTCCAGTGACCTGATACAACAGGTCATTCTTTGGTGACAGGGCCCTGAGGTGAGGGTGCCAGGGGATGAGAAAGATAGGAAAAATAGAATATAGACAAGGCAAAAGCTCATTTGGAGAGGTCTTATACAAGCTATGTCACATACCAAGTAAGCTTCTCAAGAAGAATAGCATCTTGTATACTAAATTCAGTGTGTGTGTGTGGGGGGGGGGGGATTGGAAGGAAATGGATGACTTCCATGAAGTCAACAGAAACTACCATACAATGGGACAAATTCAGGAGGAAGTTAATCAAACAATGCTGCATAAGGGGAACACAGAGTACCTCAAGAACATTAGTAAGTTCCTGGTGGCATTGGGACTGATAACCACAGCTCTATGTGGTAGGAAGAGTTGGGTACTCAGCAACCCCTGAAAAAACCCCTCTCCACAAAGGCCCTGTGCCCAGACCCATTGCCAGATCTCCCAAGAATATTCCTGGTTTTAGATAAGAAGTTCTGTTTTATTGTCAATACATCAGGCCCTCAGGGAAAGCTCCCAAGGCCTAGGCCCCAGGGTGTTACTAGCTCTCCCAGGAATGATCCTTTTCCTACCTTGACTGAGGGCCTAAATGGAAGTCTGGCTTGATCAGTCAAGTCCTTAATACAACACTGTTTTACTTTTCAAATAGTTATGACCTGGTTTTATATTGCCCATCTGACAGAACTATGCTTTTCTCAAAAATAAAACTGAACCTTTATGGCACACCAGGCTTGAATGTTGTTTGTGACCATGTACTGTCCCCTTGAGCAGGTTATTAGAGGCCTGTTCTTTGATGTGGAGATGGGCCTAGTGGCTGGTTGTAAATCAGGAGTGTCTCTTTTTTGGAGCCATATGTCTCCACAATCCTGGTGAAGAAATGTGTATCCTAGCATCTGAAGCTCTAACAGGCCTCATTCACATATACTTATCTTTGGGTTATTTTAGAGGAAGCCTCCTTTAAATTCTGCCTTATGTGACTTACTATCTCTTAAACATTGGGAAAATCATTTATATCACCAATTCTATTTTTCTACATCACAGGAAGTAGAGTGCTACCCAACATAAAAGATGCCATTTACAACTTCTACAAAATTAAACACAAGTTGACCTTTCACCTAAATATTAAATGTGAAGTGCAGAACATTTAGAGGATACCAGAAAAACTAGGCCTCTCCAAATTTGGTGACCTATTTCCAAAAAGCATGTTGACATGGACTACAAAGATATTCCACACACAGCTCCCTGCTCCCAATGCGGTGCACAGAGGCAGCTGATGGAGGAAAGTTATTCAGAGGCAGACACCTGGGTCCAGGTAGTTTCAAGGACCACATAGGACTTTATAGGACAACGAATCTGACTGCAGGCTCCCACCCAGGCCCAGAGAGCACCACACCAGGTCCAGAGGTTCACTATCCACTCTTACCCATATGGGGACAACATCACCTCACTCACAATGTCATGGCATCCCAGATCACTTAGGCTCACCACCCAGTTTCCCACAGCAGCACTCACAGAACAGCACAAAAATACCCTGGATCACACTCAGCTACAAAGCCAAGCTTTCATCCAGACCCCAAAAAGAGCCTGCACCAGTTCTGACTGATAGGTGAGACTGGAGGCCTTGATTGGCTAGTGAGGCCTGAGTGACAAGAAATTACATTGTACTTAAACACATAGAGCAGTAGTTCCTGGCCCTGCCTTCCATTCCTGACCCAGACTTTTCCAGATCTGCAGACATTTGCATTTCAATAGCACTTGCCACTAGCTCCAATAGCTGACCCTGTTATCTTCCTGTATTCCATAGACACTTCCCATGTCTCCTGGACACAATGTGGCTAGCTTGCACAGCTCATTACATAATGTGGAGTAGAATGATTCCCCTCTCCCTTGGGTGGAAGGGTGCCCAATTGACAATTAAGAGAGATTTTAGGACAAAAAAGGACATGTTCATTCTGTGGCTTCACAATGAGGTCAGTTGAACTGAAGATACATTTTACTTGGTTGTCCCAGGGACTTTAGATAACCAGGAGAAAAATCCAGGAAGCAGATCACAAACCAGAGGCATTTCTTTCCATCATTTATATAATTCATATATGTTCCTCTATGACTTTGAGGTGAGAATGTCCCTAAATGTTTCTGGTTTTACACTGTGATCATGTTTACAAGTAGATTTGTTAACTGAGCCTGCTTAGGAGAAGGGAGAATGCTATGTGAACATGTCTAATCTCACTATGTAAAATCCCCATGCTTCCTTTGTTTAGGAAAACATTGGTTTGGAAATAACTCCCATGATCGCTTTGCCTCCTACAGGAAAGAAATTCTTCTCATTTCTTCCCTCTTGGCTGCTGTGATGGTTATTCTGGAGAATCAAATTGACTACTTCTGGAATTAACCAATACACAAAGAATTGGGTAAAATCCCTGTGAGGGATTTTACTTAAAGATTTTGAAATGGAAAAACCCTTCATTAATCTGGATCCTTTAGGTAATAAGATCCACCTTTAATCTAGGTCAGACATTCTGGTGTGAGACTACCTATATAAAGGATATCAAAGAAGAAAGATCTTTCTCTTTGTCTAATTGCCCTGATGGTATCTGGGAAAGTCATTCCTTTATCATCTTTATAGCACAGTTCTTAGTAATTCTGGTATATACTGAAGACCATCTGAGACACCCAGCCTCATGGATTGAAGGACTAGCTGAACCACAGCCTGTGAGACATTCTAATAAATCAACTTAATAAATACATGCAGAGATAAATTCAATCAGTTCTGTTCAATCAGAGAACCTTGACTAATATATTGCTGTGTTTTCTATTCAGCTGCCCACTGAGTAGGATGTGCTAGGAAACAATGGTGCTCATAAGGTCATTCTTCACTTCTCTCTAATCCACCTATTGTGAACACTACACTTTTTATTTTTGTTAGATTGTCCAGCAACTGAAATGAATTTAAGAAGAAAATTCACAAAACAAAGGAGTGATCATTCAGCCTTCTGATGAGAGAAAAACCTATTTTATGAGTCTGTACAAGTTCATGTAGAGTTCTACTTTTAAGCATTCTCAGTTAACAGATCCACTTCTGAACTTGATCACAATGTAAAAGCAGAGACATTTGGGGATATTCTCACCTCTAAGTCATACAGGAACATATATGAATTATATAAATGATGGAAAGAAATGCTTCTGGCATTTACATCTTGTACCACAAGGTCTTAGTTTAAATTCAGGTAAATGACAAAGTGAAAGTAGATTGCTTTGGAGTCTATGATACCTGGCAATCATGTTTCATCTAATAAATAGATGGACCAATGCCATAATTCTGGCAAAAATAAACAAGGACAGTGAATACAATACAGAAAATATTAAAGAAAAGTCTTCTATCAGCACTGTGGTCACTGCTCTTAGGTGGATGGCTCTGCTGAACTATTTTCAGTTCAGAACAAGGCTGCTTTTAACTATCTGCAGGCTCACTCAAAAGAAGGCCACAGCTACTTCCATGCAGGGCAAGAAGGAGTTCATTTTCACTGACTGGCTGCCATCTGTCTCGGGCCTGTTTCATCACTGTAGAGGATTCCATTCTTTCCTCTTTACCCTGTTTTTAATTTTAGTTATGTGGGTATTTTGCCTGAATGTATGAGTGCACAACACCTACTGAGTCCAGAAGAAGGCAAGAGATGACCGGGACTGGAGTTACAAGGGTTATCTACCATGGAGGTTCTGGGAATTGAACATGGGTCTTCTGTTAGAATACCCAGTGCTAATATTTGCTGAGTCATCTCTCTAGCCCTTCTTTTTACTTAAAATGTATTCCTATATATTTTATTTTTAAAAACATTACACCACTTTCCCCTGTTCTCTCTTCATTCCATCCATCTCAAATACTTTGCTTCCAACTTCTTCTTTGTAAAGTATGTATGAATAAATGTGCTGAAATATGTGAAAACAACCTGCTGAGTCAGTTTTTGTTGGTTTTATGTACCATCATTGCAGGCATGAAAGAAATAAGGACTTATACATTAGTGACACCAAAAAGGACTCAAACTTGTATGTCAAAGATCACTATTAAACACGTGTTTCATTAGGAGGCCGTGCAGATGTCCATGAATTAAAAACCAGGTTGTGTTCATTTTGAGCAGCAAATAGGGAGTAGTCTCATTTCCATTAAATTGATAAAATAACCTGACTCAAAGTTACTCAAAGTAACTTCGGGGGAGAAAATATTCATATGACTCATAATTTTACAGTACATCCATATTAAATAAAACATTTCCACCCATGGTCCAAAGAGTCTCATGTTAATCATAACAATAAACACTTCCAAATTCTTAAATCTCATAGTCTTTAAAAATTCCAACATTTAAAAAGTCTACAGTCTCCTAAATGTATATTCTGTAAAAAAAAAAATTAGTAACAGCCCACTGTTTTCACAAAGGGAAAAACAGGAGCTTAGCAATCAATCATATTTAAGGAGAATAAAACAGGAAGCCAAGCTCCTGTTCTTCCCTTTTTGAACAGTTTCTTGTATCACACAGTGTAAATTCTGAGACTGTTAATGATATTCTTGGATCTCATTGACTAGGAAAGCTTAATGTTTGAGGCCTTGCCATCTCTATCACACACACACACACCTTTCCTGCAATGCCAATACTATTCCACACCTGCATCTCTCCAGGGTTATCCGATGGTTCAAAAATCCACCACAGCTTCAGGTGTCTGCTGTAAGCAGTGCGCTCTCGGGTCTTCTCTGCAGGTGTTTCAAATCGGTGACATGGTCCTCAGCTCTCTATGAGTCCTTCAGTCTTGGATTGGCAGTCAAGACACCAAGGCAGAAGAATCTCAGCAAACTCCTAAACATCTGGGCTCTAGACAGATAACAAGCAAAAGTAGTTTCTATTCCTTCAATCTACTGTATGTTGATTCTACTATTAACCTGATCAGAGTCAGAAGTCAGAGAATAATAAATGTTGGTTCTTATTAGATAATCCAGTACCAAAACCATGAATTGGAATGGTGCTATCAATTATGGAATGGAGAAAAGTCTTATCTCAATGAACTTCATATACAAGATAATCTCTCATAAGCACACCCCTGGGAATAACATGATCTAGATAAGCCATCACAGGTATGCTTGGAGGAGTCTCCCTTGGCTGATTCCAGATCCTTTCAAATTGAAAATCAATATTAACCATCACACAAAATTGATAAAATTTGCTGTGAAGATAGAAAAATTTCCTGCTTAGTAATATCTCAAATACAAATAAGCCATGTTTGAGGCCAAATGATGTAAAACTTGTTGAGTATGGACTTACTCCTTTCCCAGATGTAAGTAGCAATTGTCTGAGGATTACATGGCAGAATTATGAACCTTATGTAGAGTAAGGCACAGTGAAGAACTCTTCTGACCCATGCTCTTACCTCATTAAAACAGAATCCCACCCAAGCATCCTCAGGAACTGACCTATGATCATGTTACCAAAGAAAAAGAGAGGAGATAGAAAGACACTGAGAAGAGAGAAACACAGAAAGAGAAACTCCATAAGAACCCACTGAAATGGATCTTACAGAGGCACCAAAACTGTAACATGGCTTTTTATCAATTAATTGTGGCTCTCCCTCACAAGACTACAGTTTTCCAAATTTCTTTCTATTAATATCTGTGCTAAATCCATTATAAAAATTTCTTTTTACACAGGTGTCATCACATGTGGCAGAGGCAGATGGACTTCTTCAAGTTCTAGGCCTAGCCTATCTATGACGTAGTAAGTTCCAAGCCAGACAAGGTTAGAATATGAGACTGTGTTTCAAAGGAGGCCCACTCCAAAATTCTCTATTTCATAAACATTTCGGTTGTGAAAATGGTTTAACACAAAGTGCTCACCTTGCAACTATCCCTTTACTTCTGCATTACAAATACAGTTTCAAGAGTGCATGCCTATAATCCAGTGTTTTTAAGTCAAGAGAAAAGGCAGACAGGAAAATTCTGAAAGCCTATTTACATGTGACAACAAACTGGAGACCCTGTCTCAAACATGCTGAAGGGAAAGGACCAGCACCCAAAATTGTTCTCTGATTTTTACATTGAAACTATGACACATATGCACACCTTTCCACAAATAAATAAGCACATACATACAAACAGACATAAGTAAATAAATAATAAAATTACTATTGAATGATATGGCACAAAAATGTTATTCCAATATCTGTACAGGAAAGGCAGGCAGAGTTCTGGGAGTTTGGTGACAATCTCGCCTACTTTGAAGTCTGGAGACAGTTAGAGATTTATAGAGAAACCCTGTCTCAAAATAAAATTCCAACTCTGATTTGTATTGACTCATCCTGAATATATTTTCGAAAATGCACTGAAGTGTTCCGGCTTAATTGCTGCAGAGGTCCTGAGGTTAGGGACAATATCTCAAAGTCATTGCAGGTGTCAGCCATGTGTTTCTGATAAATCATTCGCAAAAGGAACATAGCTGAGTATGGTAGCAGAGCCAGGTAGATCTCTTTGAATTGTGCACTCTACATAGTGCGCGCGTGCATGTGCGCGCGCCCACGCCCACACACACACACACACACACACACACAAATATAGTTGGATATAATTTTGCTCTGTTGTTTGAGACAAGATCCCAGTAGAAAATTCCAGCTAGCCTAAACTCACACTGTATAGTTTAATGAATAATACAAATTGAAAATATGGAATATATAAATCAAATATAAAATAATATACATTGAATATATAAGACAAATTCGCCAGTCGGTGATGGTGCACACCTTTAGTCCCAGCCCTCAGGATGCATAGGCAGGCTGATCTCTGTGAGTTCCAGGCCAACCTGGTCTATAGAGTGAGTTCCAGGAGAGCCAGGACAGTTTCACAGAGAAACCCTCTCTCAAAAAACCAAAAAAAAAACAAACAAAAAACAAAAAACAAAAACAAAAACCTTCCAGTAAACATTTTATTCTATACCACTGGATCATTATTAAAAACATAGACAGGGGGCTGGAGAGATGGCTCAGCGGTTAAAGAGCACTGGCTGTTCTTCCAGAGGTCCTGAGTTCAATTCCCAGCAACCACATGGTGGCTCACAACCATCTATAATGAGATCTGGCATGCAGACAGAACACTGTATACATAATAAATAAATAAATAAATAAATAAATAAATAAATAAATAAATAAATAAATAAATAAATAAAATCTTTAAAAAAAAAAAAACATAGACAGTTTTCTATATAAGAGGGAGCTTCCAAACAATTGTCTAACCCTGACCTGTCTAACCACGATCTATAGGAACAGTACCAATTTATAATATCTCCAAGCTCTGTAATTCTGATAATAGCCAATATAGCTAGATTTTTAAATACAAAATAAATAATGCTTCAATATAATAGTTATGAGTTTGTTTAGCTTATAACATTTCCAGTTTTACAAAGAAGCTTACCTATGAGGAACACCCATGCTGTCTCAGGAACATTGCAAGACTCTAACAGTATCTGAAGTCTCAGAAGGCAATGGGAGGTCCCCTGGAAAGCTCTGAAAGCAATTGGGCACCAGGAAGAATTTGAATGGCATTTGGACTCAATGAAGGGTCATGAGAGTGGCTTAAAAACTAAAGAATCAGAAGGCAACCTGGTAGAAGGAAGGTCCTTAAAAACAGTATTGGATGCCCTCCTCACTTTCCCCGCATCAGGTTCTCACTTATATGACCATAGAAAGATCTTCCTGCATTGTTCCAGCATCCTACTAATCCTTACAACTACATCAGCATCACTATGACCTCCATGTATCTGGGTTTCATCATCAGCCTTGGCTGATTCTTTTTCCAGATAGATTCGGGTTCTGGAGTTTTCCAGGAACTAGTTCCAGGGCTGCAAATGATCAGGGCAGGTGACACTCCATGAACACCTCTTTCAGCTTCACAGATACTTGAGATAGGCAAGACAAAAGCTAGGTTGGTGCACAGGGCCTGTGAGCTTTTGCAGCTCCACTTTCTGGCTTCTCTGGGCCAAGCCTGCAAATCATCTACTAAACACACCCTCTCCCTGATGCAAACCCAGCAAAAATTACTCTGCTCATATCCTCACAAGCACAGCAATGTCTAGATGTACCTCCAGACAAGTTCTTCCCGGGCACACCCATAATACACACTCAGGGACATTCCCCTTCTCTGGAAATGCTCTTCCAGACATTATTTTTAGCCTGACTCAGAGGACATAGGAATCCTGTGGTGACCTCAGATTTGAGAGAAGAGTCAGAGTGTGAAGTGATTGGCAGCTAAACTGGAGAGCTGCTTTAATATCAAGGCCAGAGGACACAGCAGGGCAATCCATCCACTACAACCACAATGCCCTGCAAGGGGAGACCTGGAACTCCAGAGCTGCATTCATACAGGAGCTGGGAACTCAAAGCCACAGCTGATAAAGTAAACAGCCCCTGAGACCTGCAAGATCTCATGTGGAAAAAAAAACATGGCCAGTAGACATACTAACATAGAAGGTTTGGGGGGATCTAATGAGACTGTCTCCCTAGACCAAGTACTACAGGAAATTAATGACTATGAAGGGGGAGAATTGTTTTTCCCATGGATGAGCCTCTTTGTTAGTTATTCAAAACAAAGTGGTCTGCCCTGTAATCATATAAATAGAAGAAATACTAAATGGACTCAGCAGCTTATATTTATTTATGTGCAAAGACACATAAATATATATGCAATAGTAATAGCAAAAGATAAACTACCAGTTTGAGACAGAGTAAGTAAGTGGGAGTATGTAGCACATTCTCTTTTAGGCCACCAACCAACTCCCAAATCATGACACAGAGACTTCTTATTAGTTATGAATGCTTCTTGTCACATGAATTATGACACAAAATGTGGATTCTGCCCTATCCAACCACCCAACACTATGCACACCTGAGAAATCTCTACAGATCCGAAACTCCCTTTGTCCCCTGGAACTAAATAAACTTCACCAAATCATACCATTATGGCTGGTGGTAGCAGAAAGTTAGAAGCATTCTAATTATATATTACTGAAAGACAATTCATATCACCATCTTTCTACCAATTTCTAAACTATTGTATTTATAAGACAAATCTGAAAGTGGAGTGCAAGTTCAGAACTTATAGACACCAGACCTTCAGTTTTCCAAATTGTCTTCTCACCACACACCAAAAACTCAGCTGTCTGTGCACACTGGAGAGTGAAATTACTAGCATCATATCCTTTCATACCAGGGTTGCAGAGTCTCCACATACCCAGGAAATCCACACAGAGGGAAGCTCAGAGGACAAAGACAACTGTCCAGGTCACCACATGGATCAACAAAACTACAGTCTGGCTCATGGTTCATCACAGTCCTACCAGAAATGACAGTTCAGCAGACCTGCTCTAAACATACTACACTCACTATGGCATGCATGGCTTGTAGGCTTCCTTACAACTCCCTAGAGCAGAACAAGAGGAGAATCCTAGAAAGAACCTGGAAGCTACCTCCTGCTAGTGCTTCTGATTGCTAACCAACCCTGAGTTCCTCATCAGCTAGGACCACACATCTGGGCTTCAGGACACTAGCAGTTTCCCTACTGGGTGAGCAGACATCAAAGAACTCAAGGAGAAAAAAACCTTCCCAGGTGGGTACTTCCACACTATGGTTGGACAGGACACTATCCAGGGGATTTGGTAGTTTAGTAAAGTCCTCCAAACTCTCAGAGCACTTCCTGTTCCTCTTCCAAGGCACAAGGTCCTATGGGTGCATAGTTCATTACATACTTAATGTTCAGTGCAGCCAACCTGTTGCTTCCTAGCTGGGAAGTCCTGCAACCAAACACAGGTCACATTCAACAGTAACTATTGTTAAACAAAAAGAGGCCATGGATTAGAGCACAATTAAGGGTCTATGGAAGGGGTTGGAGGCAGGGAAGTGATAGTGATAATAATGTAAATATAATTCCAAATAATTCTGTTAAACAGTTGAAACAGGCTTGGATCTTAAACATTTTTTATTTATTGATTGATTGATTTACTGTTTTCAAGACAGGGTTTAACTATGTAGCCCTGGAACTCATTCTGTAGACCAGGAGAGCCTCAAACTCAGGAAAATCCAATTATTTCTGCTTCCTGAGTGCTTGGGTTAAAGGTGTACACAGTTAGCAAGCAGCTGAAGGTGGATTTCACCTCAAATGATCAGGATTAAAGATAGACATTTAATTTCAAAACATAAAACAATCCCTCACAAGTATACTCAACTCTTTGAGTTTTTGTTAATTCCAGAAATAGTCAGTGTGACTACATAGAATAGACATTACTACAGCCAAGAAAGAAGAAATGAGAAAAAATGCCTTACATTCAGGAGGCAGGGAAAGTATGCTTTTTCCTAAACAAAGGAATATGTGGATTTTACTTAAGAAATCTGAGCATGTTCATGTAAAATTCTCACTATTCCTAAATAAGCAAGTAAACAAATCCACTTCTGAACATGATCACAATGTAAAAGTACAGACATTTAGGGGTATTCTTACATCAATGTCATGCAGAAACATATATAAATAATAAAAATGATGGAAAGAAAAGCCTCTGGCATGTTCATCTTGTACCATAAGGTCTTACCTGGAAATCAGTAAATGACACAGAAAAAAAATATTGCTTTGGAGACTTGTAAGTTGTCAGTTATGGTGATATTTTATTTGTACTGAAATGTGATTTTAATTTTATGTTAATAAATAAAGTTACCCTGGGGTCAGAGCTATTAGAGCCATAGCAAGAGCGTGGTGGTTAGAAGAGCTAGGTA